ACCGGCACACTAGAGGTGGATAACATGAATCCAATCTCGCCTGGAGCCCTCCTTCTCTTTAAGTCCTGGGCATGATCCTCAGCTTTTTCTGTGTTCCAGCTGTAGGAGAAGAGTCTCTTTATATGACGCCAAGTAGAACTTCTGACCTTCTGAGTGCTGGTTCCTCACCTTCAGCCTTTCATGACTTCGCCAATACATCAAATGTCCACAGGAACAGCCATCTATTTGCATAGGTCTTACTACTTCCCCTGAATTTATCAAATACCTGAAATGTTGCCCCTGCGTTACCTTCCAACAATATCCCGTCCCAGTTTACTACTAGTTCAAGTTCTAACAACAGCGCAGCTACAGCACGCCAAGCGCTATCCATGCTCCACCAGTAGTGATGGTGTCCTCATTGCTGGTGACCCAGGGGTAATCCGGCTCCAAAATCCATTTTAAGGTTGGTTTCCTTGGACCACTCCTGGAAGCAACTACCTTGGGTCAGATTCCCCAAGAAGCAAGACGGGGATCAGCATACAGTACATTTGTGGCGGGGAGTGGAGAATGGCATCAGATGCACATCAACAGGAGATGAAGGAAGGAGAACCGAACAGAGGGAGGAGATGAACTGCATGGAAATCATAACAAAGGCCTCCGCCGATCCCACGGAGAGTTCTGGGGCTAAGGTGTGTGTCACCCCAGGGAGAAAGTATGAGTTGGGCAAAGTGGCTTTCTTTGGTTGATGGCAAGTCACAGAAAATAATTTAAATGAAAGCATTCAGCCACCACACTTCCAACAGCTGGGTGAATGGGTGGCTCAATCTTGAATGGGCCTAAGGGCACCAGCCCATAGCACCCACCACATAAGGTAAATTCTTCTTTCTCAGATGAGAAGAACTAATAAGCATATAAGTCCCTCCATTATAAGGAAGGAGACTTAGCCCCGATAAATTAGGCATAAAAACACCAGCAGTATTAATAGCATGGTAATTTTGAATGACTTGATATAATCCTAAGGTCAAAAGGGAAAAAAATATATATCTTCTCTTACCTCAAGGATGTCCTTTTTATATTTTGTATGTTCTTTCCTGTAATAATGGGGAAACAAAATCCTATCTTGTAAAATTCGTACAAACTTTTGCTATCACCTATATATAAAGAGAAGACTTAAAATTTGTCCAAGTTTTGACATAGGCTCTTTTTAAATGTGTTCTTCAGCAAAGTAATTCTGGCAGGGTTGAGGACAGGCTAGCCTTTGTAAATTATTCTTCTGTGAATGAATAATATTTCTTTTATATCTGTGTACCTTTGCAAATTCAGTCTTTTTGCCAGAATGTCCTTTCTTACCCTTTGCCTAGAATTCTATTCACTCTCCAAGAACGTCATCAACTCTCCCTTCATTCATAGGATTGCCAGATTTAGTAAATAAAAATACAGGACACCCAGTTACATTTGAATTGCAAATAAACAACAAATAATTTTTAGTATAAATATGTCAAAATATTCCACAGAATATACCGGTACTTATACTAAAAATTATTATTTGGATACTCCCTTGCTGAGTTTGGGAAACCTGCAAAGGAGCAGGTTTGATATTAATAGCATGCAGTAGGGGCAGATGTGGAAATTAGCAGTTAAACTTCAGACTTGTTCGTTTTGATATGCCTATTAGAAATCCAAGTGGAGATGCTCACAGAGCAAGTAGATGTTAAAGACTGGAGTTCAAAGTAGAGATCTGGGCTGGATGGAGATGTAAATTTGGGGCCATCAGCATGTGGACATGGTCAGCAAACTCAAAGCTTGATGAGACCCCCTGGGGAGCAATGTGGATAGAGAAGAGGGAGGGTGAGGACTGACCCCTGGGATCTCTAAGTGTTTACAGGTTGGGTAGATAAGCGAGTCATCAGCCAGACAGAAGGAGAACCAAGAAAGAGTGTCCCAGATGTCAAAGTGCAAGCAGTGCTTCAAGAAAGAAGGCCGGCCGGGCGCGGTGGCTCACGCCTGTAATCCTAGCACTCTGGGAGGCCGAGGCGGGCGGATTGCTCGAGGTCAGGAGTTCGAAACCAGCCTGAGCAAGAGTGAGACCCCGTCTCTACTATAAATAGAAAGAAATTAATTGGCCAACTAAAAATATATAGAAAAAATTAGCCGGGCATGGTGGCACATGCCTGTAGTCCCAGCTACTCGGGAGGCTGAGGCAGAAGGATCGCTCGAGCCCAGGAGATTGAGGTTGCTGTGAGCTAGGCTGATGCCACAGCACTCACTCTAACCTGGGCAACACAGTGAGACTCTGTCTCAAAAAAAAAAAAAAAAAAAAGAAAGAAGGCCATCCTTCAGGAAGAGTAGGTCTTAATAAAAAAAAAATAAATAAAATAAATAAAAAAGAAGAAAGAAGGCCTGAGCCTCCATGTCAAATTCTTCCGAGAGGTGAGTTTGGACGGGGCCTGAGCATTGGGTTTAGCAGCTGAGGATTATCCACTCCTCAGTAACAGCTGTTTCATTAAGATGGTAGGAAAGAAAGCTTGACTGGAGTAAGCTCGAGGGAGAGTAAGTTCTGTTCGGGACAGAAAACAGAGAGAGCAAAGACAGACAATGCTTTCCGAGGACTTTTGCGATAGCCTGGCGATGATCCCAAAGATGAGGGGAAACAGTGAGGCTGGAGACAAGGGGAACAATACGAGGAGCAAAGTCGTCCAATAGGCAGAGAGAATGGGGAGGGGGCCGGACCCGGCCTGAGCAGGAGCACAGCCAGAGCCGCGGGAGGGGATGGACTAGCACATATGGGGAGAGATGCAGGAAGTGCGGCAGAACCGGCATGCCGGAGTTCTTAGGGTTGTTCTTCTTTCCTTTGTGAAACCAGAAGCAAGGTGGGAGGGAAGAGGAGGGAGGATGTGTTTGGGAGCAGGGGAAGGGGTGGACGGTCAGCTAGGCGGGTGGAGGAACCCCGGAAGGGTAGCAGGATGGCCAAGCTGCACTGGGGCTCCTTGAGAGTAGTGCTTGTGAGTTTAACTTGGGACCGGCGGCACGGAAGTGTGTTTTTCTTCAGGCACATTCAGCTGTCCAAGTGCAGGCAAGGAGTGGGCTGAAAGCTGGATACAAGCAGGACTGGAATTTTGGTAAACCAATATGTCGGAGTGAGAGAGAAGCCAGGGATCCTAGTGCAAGGACAAAAGGGAATGTTCCCAATGATGGCCCAGGAGATCCAACCCGACTGGGAGGGAAAAGAGGAAGGACATCAGGGGATGAGGGACAGGGCAGGTGGTAGGATCAGTGGATTGGAGGATCCAGCAGGATTGAAGGATTACTGGAATCAGGGTACTGGAGAGAGAAAAAGCTGGAAAAATAGGAAGTGGTAGTCAGAGTGGGATCCTTACAAGTAAGTTTATGGAGGGTTTACAAGTATCAGTGATGTGATGTCGAGGCTATAACCAAGCCAGGAGCTGACTGAAGTAGGGTAGAGATCTCTGGAAGAAAGAAAATCAAGGAACTGAGAGTCCTGAGAACTGGATGGGGCCCCTACATGTGTGTTGAAACCACCAAGAATTACACACTGGAGAGAGAGACAATGAACAAGTGTATTAGTTTTCTGTTGCAACAAACCACCACTAACTTAGTGGCTTAAAACAATACAAAGTTATTATCTTATGGTTACAGAGGTCGGAAGTGTGAAATCAGTCTCACTAGTCCATAGTCAAGGTGTCAGCGGGGCTGGTTCCTTCTGGAGGTTCAAGAGCAGAGCCCTCCCCTTGCCTTTTCCTGCCTATAGCAGCCCGAATTCCAGGCCAGAAAGTGCTGCTGTGATTGTGCAGTTGTTTAAAAAGATAAATGGTCTCCACAGCTAGGGACAAAGAAAAGTAGGACAAGCACGAGGAGAACCTGATGGAGGAGCGCTTCGCAAATAATTAGTGGCTAATTTTAGCTGATCAGCTTACCTATTTTTTCATTACTCGGTAAAACTGAGTTCCAAAATTGTAAAACTTGATCCTGCAGGAGAGCCCTCAAAATAATAGCTAAGATCCGATGATGCGATCGCAGGCAGCAGACACTGAAAGCAGGGCCTGAGCAGCAGCTCAGGTGCGAGGAGGTACACCTTTTCCTCTTTCTTCTGTTTGTCATCCCTCTCATCACTATTATTGTATTCCTCTAGAATGTTTGCTTTTTAAAAAAATGTGGTCATAAAAAAATAAACTGCAAGTGCTCATAATTCTAAACACCATGGAGAGATGATTCTTGTCTTCGTGTGGCACACTTTCTTTCATTTATCCTTGCGTCACGATACATTGTTTCAATTATAACACCGCATTGCTAACGCATTCAGTCTGTGGTCCACTCTGACGTGGAAGCACTTTCTTCTGCATTTATGCCTTTTCAGCTTAATGCCGTTGAGTCTACATTTGTAATTCCTAACGCTTTTAGTGTGCATTTGTCTCTGCTGAGATTAAAAGCAAATTTTGTTATTAATGGATGCATTTTCTGATCTTTCAAAGGCATGTTGCATTCTATTCCTAACATTCAAATTCATAGAATCCCCTCCCTGCAAATGGGTGCCCTCTCCAAATTTAGTTAGCACTTTCAGTATTTTCATCTAAGATACTGATGAAGAATGACCCTTGAGGATGTCCTCGGGTTGATAAAGAGCCGCTGAGAATCGCTGTTTAGGAATTTTCAACAAGCTAATAGTATTGCCAGTATCTCAGCCCTTCCCTTAGAATATTGTGTGACACAGAATGAACTGCCTTCCTTACATTAACATAGACTAATCCACTCCGCCCTACCCTCCACCACCCGCCACCCGCCACCAAGTATCCTGCCCCTTTAGCACAAAAGGAAATAACATTGGTCTGGCATAATCCTCTTTTTGCCAAGCCATGCCTTGGCATTAAAAATGTAAGGAAATAAGACTGTTTTTCTCTGCGTCATAGCCAAGGCAGTCTGCAGCAACCCAGTGTGATTTCTGAGCAGTATTCAATAAGTGGAACAGAGAACAGGCTGGGTCACCTGATATCCGGAAACACGCACACAGACTTAGATATTTATTAGTAAAAGCGGCAATAATGATTCAAGATCTGAGGTCACCAGGGTCTGAGAACAGTGGATGAGGAGACAGACGGCCACCCTGGGTAAAATCTGACCTCCTCCCACAATCCCATTCAGCAGTCTGCTGGCTCAGAGCAGCTACGGCAGCGGCCAAGGGAAGCTCTCAGTTTTTTCTATAAAACACACATGCAGACAACCAGCAAGCAACGACTCCATATTCTGTAACAAAAAAACATACGTTGCTCTGTGTTAAATTATACCTTAACCATGCACAGACAGGCCCCATAGAAGCTCGATAATTCTCCTACTCTGCTTTAACTTGTCCTGATAATTTACTTTTTGGATCAAATCCCTGCCATTTTCTGAGACTCCCTAGGGAATTATTTTCACTCACTAGAACCACCTCTTTTTCAAGAAGTAAGCCTCATTCTTCCTTCTCTTGTTTTGACTTGACCATAACATTCACACTGTTTGTTCAGGGTCGGATATCTGCTCTTTGCATATTGGGTTCCTTTTCAGTGTCAGAATCATTGTTTCAGTTGTAAGCAGCTAGACATCAGGGACTGTGTGTGTGTGTGTGCAGATTCTTTTCTTACTACAAGTATTCCTCATCCTGTGGCAAAGGGAAAAAGACTGCCAGAGCTCAGTATTAGGAAATAAATAAAGAAAGCAGGGAATTAAATCTCTAATAGTTGCCTGAAGACTCTCAATTTCATGATTTAAAAATTCTTTTTTTCACTACATTCTGTGGATCAAAATTGCTGTGTTAAGTGTGGCAGGTGACAGGAGGCACCTGCCCTCCTCCTGGCTGGAAGAGCTGCAGAGCAGCGGGAGCCCTGCACTACCTGGTCACAGCTGTGACGCCTGACTTCTCGCTTCAGAAGCCCCCACTGGCACCAGTGCACCAGTGCAAATGGTCTAGACTGGTTCCCATTGGCAACAGTGCAAGTGTTTCTAGACTAGTTGCAAAGATCTCAACCTTTGATCCCTTACTTCTTTTTCAATGACCTGACAAATGCCTGGGAACCAAGGTCCCTAAGTTAGCAGGCTCCCCAACAACCAGACCTGCTCCCCTTTTCCTTATGCCCCCATTTCGCTTGCCCAGGCCTCAACCCCACTGGTTCAAAGGCCCAGTGTTTACCCCGCTCTCCCTGATACCCCTCTGTTTACCTCTGTGTCCTAACCTAGCCTATCTCCTCCAGAACTCATCTACCCAAACGGGACTTTATGACTCAGAATCTCACTTTATAACCAACTTAGCTGCTATATGTCTGTTTTTCACATTGAGCACCATGTGCAACATGGGATCTAAATCAGCTCTGACACCTACAGCAGATAACTGGTTGGAATTTTTGGCACCATAGCAGAACCACTAATTCTACTGTGCCTGGTAATGTGTTTGTCCTTGCATGAATTCACTCACTCACTTTGTTCATTCATATATGCATATATATATCCATGTATCCAGGGACTTATTTTTAAAGCCTTTGTTAAACATCTACCATGTGCCAAGCAAGGAAGAGATAAACAAAACAATATTGCTGTCCTTAAAGAAGCTCACAATCCAGTAGTCAAATCAGATAAATAAAGATAATTATGATTATAGAACAATGGAGAGAAAGCAGTCATAGTAAAATGCAAAGGGTATTTTGGGAGTTCAGAGAAGAGGTGTCTTACCCAGCATGGCAGGGTTAGAGAAGACTTTTGGACAAGGCTGGAGTAAGACCCAACTTATTACTTGGTATGAGGCAAATCTAGAATTAAGACTGCAATTGAAACCAAATTACATCTCAGAAAACCAAGTTATAGGCCCATAAAGGCTCAGCCAACATGTGGAAAAGATTTGTATAATGTCCTTGACCAAATTCATCCAATCTTCCTTCAGTAGGCAGCTTCTTGCCGTGGGCACGTTAGGTGGCACAAAGTGTTGGTTTGCGGTAGTTGTTATGTCCTTGGGGAACATTTCGAGGATTCCAGGCCCACTTTCTCTGCTCTTGCTCATTAACTATTTTCATAACAGGGTCTTCAGAAGAACCAACATGCTGGCGACTCAGCTGTTGCTGAGAGATGACCTCTAAAGTCAGAAAAGTTGAATGCAGACTTGGGGAAGGTTTGCATTTGACTCTGCTAACAGAATTGCATCCGGAAATTTTTGTATCTAAAAATGCCCTAAAGAGAAACATCAGCTATCCATATCTGTATGTGTACAAGCCACAGTGCTGATCTACTTAGGCTTGCTGCTTCCTACAAATAGAAAGAGAAGGAAAAAACAGGTTTCAGTCAAAATGAGATCAACTCCTCTGACCCACAAAAGAATCCAATTAATTTACAATAAGACAATTAAGGCAATTCCCATGGAATAAGCTAGCTTGGGCTTTTAACTAATCCTAAGTAAAACTTGGAGGCCAAGCTGATTTAGATGGCAATCTAAACATTTACATACTTCTTTGGAGTTTGGGTCTCTTAAGAAGGGTCCCTAATATTTCCTTAACAAAAGGTTCTGCTTGGATTTTCCTAATTTTTGTCATTGCCAAGTGCCCAAAAGGCAGGAATGTGTCTTATTTTTTGTATCCCCACTGTATAACTCTTAGAAAATAGAAGAAATTTAATAAATGTTTATTGAATGAATTTTAAATCCCACATTTGGAGACCGGGTGAACGGAGAGGGAGGAAATAATCCAATCTCTGTTTGCTCAGGCTGGTGAATCATGCCCCTCTGGCCTGACTCCAACTGTCTTAACCCAGAACGTAAGAACAAGTACTAATCTCTATTCACAATGTCAATATTTAAAATTGTGTTTATTTGCTGGGTAGGGTCCCTGTTTGTTTATGTTTCTCTCAATGTTGTACACCACTGTTTGTCTGCCCTTGAACATGTTTGTCCACACTGATGGAAAGCTTAGACGAAGTGGAAATGACGCCCATTTTAATGGCTTCATGGCACTCAAGTGGGTACTTAAAGACGCTCCTTTGAATGGAGGCTTTGGGAGACCCTAATGAGTGACACCATTCTAAATGAACAGAATACCAAAGAACAGCCTCTCTTTGGAAGAAGAATACTGAATTACATCACTGTTTTTTCAAAGCACAACGAGATCATTTAGAAAACACTCCTCATTACTCCAGAAGTCTCTCGCTCCATGCTCCAGCACCCATTTCCCCAAAGGGGCCTGTCTGGGATTGGCAGAGGAAGGGGAGGTAGAAAGGGAGGCGCCACTGCTCTGTCGCTCAGCACACAAATGGCCACCCTTGTGCATGCTCTGTAGCTCCACCGCCAACAAATCTCCCAGCAGTGGCACTCGGGCTAGGACATCTGCTGAATCTGCAGTTCACTCAGGCTCCTGCCCTGCTGTAAAAGGGCATCACTGAAAGATGGAGCCACAGCGCTCAGAGGGACTTTAGGGAGCACTTGCTAAACGTGCAACTTTCCATGATCCTCCCCTGAGACGCTGACCCAGCAGGCCTGGGGTAGGGCCTGGAATTTGCCCCGGGAGGTGCTTGTTATCAGGTAAATCTCAGAATCACTGATTCTCATTCAGCTAATTAACTTTATAGATGCTGAGATTGAGGCTAGAAAGATAACAACGACTTGCCCAAGGTCACACTGCAAACCTTGCTCAAGCCTAGACTAGACCACTAGGAGCCATTTTTCCCCTTCATCCCCCTCCAAAGATGCTACATTAATGCCTTAATTAATTCATCTCCTGGAAATGAAGCTTTTTTTAAATAAGCAAGTTGGGCATATTGGTCTTTGTCTTATTCTGCCACTGCTTCCAGGATGTGCTCAGTTAAAAAGGTAATAAAGGCCAACACCCCCTGTGGGGATTCGCAGAAAGGAAAAGACAGTAGAATCATGCTGTGGCCTTGCTCAGGTCCACCTTGCGCTGTCTGCAGAGTCCCCTCCCTTTTGAGAAGCTGGTTGTCTCTTTCCCCTGGCTCCAGTTTGCCTCTAAGGGATAGCTGGGATTTCTTAACAGCCATATAAATCTTCAGCCTGGGTCAGCCTATCACTCTGCCTAATGTCTCACCACTCCCCCAACCGACCCACCCTCTCACCAAATGAATTTGCTGCTCCTTGAACACTCCCGGCTCCCCTGTGGTTTCTGCCTTCACATATGCTGTTCCCTGAGCCTGGAATCCCCCGCCCTCATTCCTCTATCCTTGTCTAGCAAACTCCTCCTTGCCCATCACATTTCCGTTTAAACATCACCCCATCTGAAAGGTTCTCTCTAATACTGTGGCATGTCATGCCTACTGGCTCCTGCAGTGCTTTGTTTAAATTTTAATTTATCTGTTTATGTGTTTGGATTCTCCCCTTAACTGTGAGTGAAGGTGCTGAAGGGCACTATCATGTTTTATGTGTCTTGACACCTACGGCATGTGGCACAGAGAAGTTGATCAGCAAATGGTGGAGAAACAAGATACTGAAACAAGCATTTCTAACTATAAATCTTTTAAAAGCAGTTTTATGAGATATGATTCACATACTGTACAATTCACCCATGTAAAGTATACGATTCATAGCACACAAAGTTCTCCCAATGTCAAAACAAAATAAATAAAGTATACAATTCAATGGTTTTTAGTAAGTTCACAAGGTTGTGCAACCATCATTGCAATCTAATTGTAGAACGTTTTTGTCCTCCCCCAGAAAGAAACCCCCAGCCTATACCTTTTAGCTGCTTCCTCAATTCCACATTACCCCCCATCTGGGCCTAGGTAACTACGAAACCACTTTCTCTATAGATTGTATATCTTGAACATTTCATATAAATCGAATCGGACAATATAAGGTCTTTTGTAACTGGCTTCTTTCACTTAATATAGTGTTTTCAAGCCTCATCCATGGTATAGCATGTGTCAAAACTTCATTTTTTATGGCCAAATAACATTCCAAAACAGATATCCCACATTTTGTTTATTCATTCATCAGTTGATGTCCATTTGAGTTGTTTCTACTTTTTGGCTATTATGAATAATGTTCCTTTGAACATTCATGTACAAGTTGTTGCGTCAACGCGTGTTTTCATTTCTCTTGGGTAGAATTGCTAGACATGGAATTGCTGGGTCATGTGGTAACTCTATGTTTAACCTTTACAGGAACTGCCAGACTGTTTTCCAAAGCAACTGCACCATTTTACATTCCTGTTAGCAATATATGAGTGTTCCAATTTCTGCACATCCTCACTGACACTTGTTATTGTCCATCTTTTTAATTATAGCCATTCCAGTGGGTGGTATCTCGTTTTGATTTGCATCTTCCTGATGACTAATAATATTGAGCAGTTTTCATGTGTTTATTGGCTATTTGTATATCTTGTCTTGAGAAATGTTTATTCAAAGCCTTTGTCCATTTTCAGATTTGATTTTGGTCTTTTTATTGTTGAATTATAAGAGTTCCTTTATATATTTTGGATATAAATTTCTCATCAGATACATAACTTGCAAAAATTTTCTCCCATTCTGTGGGTTATCTTTTCACTCTCGTTCTTTGAAGCACAAAAGTTCATAATTTTAATGAAGTCCAATTTACCTATTTTTTTCTTCTGACATTTATTCTTTGGTATCCTATCTAAGAATCCATTACCCAAGGTCATAAAGATTTACTTGTTTTCTTCTAAGAGTTGTACACTGTTAGTTCTTACATTTAGGTCTATAATTGATTTCAATTTAATATTTGTAATGGCTTAAGGTACGTATCCAACTTCATTCTCTTGTCTGTGAATATCCAATTATCTCAGTATCATTTGTTGAAAAGAATATTCTTTCTCCACTGAATTGTCTTCACCCCTTTGCAAAATCTTTGGCCATAAATGTAAGGGTGTGTGGACTCTCAGTTTTTTTCCACTAAGCTATATGTTTACCCTTTGCCACTACTAATGAAAACCTTTTTATCTTTAATAAAGGATTGTAAGTCTTTGTCCATGTCAATAATTGAGTTGGCAGCAATGAAATTTGAATCACGAAGCATCCCTAAAATTACAGTAAGCTCAAGGTCCAGAGAGAAACCTTGACCTAGAGGGCACAAGGCAACGGGCTTCCACTATTCAAGGCCTATTCTTGGCTGCTACTGAGATGAGGGATCCTGGGTCCCCTGTTCTGGGAACTGGCTCTGCTTCTGCTCAGCAGCCTTCTTCTCTCCAGGGAGTCCCACTGAAACCTTCCTTTCTTCTGCTGCTTCGAAACAAACCTCACCCATCCAAATCTTACTCTCTCCCTTATCCCAAGATTCATGTTTTGAGTTTCCCAGTATATTAGATGTGGTTTTCAGTGGGGTGTAATTCATCTCCTCAACATACGTTTATGGAGCATCTGCTCTGTGCCCAATTTTGTTCTCGGCTCCGGGAATACAGGGATAAGCAAAATAGAAAATGCCTTGACCTCAAAGAATGTACATTTTAGGGGCACAAAGAAGTAAATTAAAAGTAATGCAATGAATAAAGTAATCCCAGATAGTGATACATGCTATGGAAAAAATCAAGAGGGATGAAAGGATGGAACGCGAAAGAGGGGTCCTATTTGAGAAAGGCTTGGCAAAGAGAGCCTTACTAAGAGAGTGGTATTGAGGGTTAAGGGGTGAGGCATGTGCAGATCTAACTGGGGAGTGACCCAGGCACAGGGAATAGTGAGTACAGGGGCTCCAAGGAGGTATATGGAACAGCAAGAAAACAAACGTGGCTGGAGCAGAGTGAAACGGAAGAAGGGACAAAAGGGTGAGGTCAAAGAAGAAGCCGGCAGGATCATGCAGCGATTTGGAGACCAGGATTAGGAGTTTAGACTTTATTCTAAATGTGAGGGAAAGCCCTTAGAGAGTTTTAAGCAACAGAGTGATGTGATCTGATCTGCACTTTAAAAAGAGTACTCTGGGCCGGGCGCTGTGGCTCACGCCTGTAATCCTAGCTCTTGGGAGGCCGAGGCGGGCGGATTGCTCAAGGTCAGGAGTTCAAAACCAGCCTGAGCAAGAGCGAGACCCCGTCTCTACTATAAATAGAAAGAAATTAATTGGCCAACTGATA